TCTGTGATTCAACAGTCTTGCACAATTCACAGCGCTCACCATAGCACATACCCGCCCCAATGTCTATCACCCAGCCACCCCATCCCTCCCACTCCACCCCCACTCCAGCAACCCTTTATTTATTTATTTGTCAGAGAGAGAGAGCACAAGCAGGGGGAGTGGCAGGCGGAGGGAGAAGCAGCTCCCCACCGAGCAAGGAGCCCAGGACCCTGGAATCATGACCTGAACCAAAGGCAGACACTTAACTGAGCCACCCAGGCATCCCACCTCACAGGATTATTAAAAAGATTAAAAAAAAAATGCATGTAAGAAGGAAAGCTCTAAGATTTCTAGCAGATATCATTGTCACCATTACCATACATTACTATACTTCAAGGTCTGCTACAGATCCTCTCTTTTTTCTCTTGTTTTTTAATCCTTCTATTTCTGGTAAGCACTGAACAATTTTGCTAATCCAAAGATTTTTTTTTTTTTTAGAGAACTTGTGCTAGTAACTATTTTAGGGGAGGTGTAATCTGTTTATCAATAACCTTAAGAACAGTGATGGAAAAAGCCTGAGAAACAGCAAAGTGCAGGTAGTTTAGTCAGTGAAGACTTGAGGAGTTTAAATGTGATTATCTCATTTTCTTTATGATGCTGAGAAAACTTCTGGGCACAGAGCAGGTGTTAAATACATACCTATACCTGGATTCAGAGACATGATTGGATTTTAGCAGATTCTCACAAAATAGAGGCTTATTTAGTTGTTAGGAACTGGAATTCAAGACTGGAATATGAAAAATAAATGTATGGGAAAAAGAAATTCCAATTCATTTTGCTTTCATACCTAAGTGAGTAAATAAGTAAGTAAACAATAAACAAAAAAAAATTTAAGACAGCTCTGTCAGGTAAAATGAAGTAGAAACGAAAAACTTACATTTCTCTCCCTAACTAGACCTTAAGCTGATGAATGAAGAGATGTCCTCTGTGCCTGGGAAAAAGTAAGTACCTGGTAATTCTTTAATAAATGTGAGAGTGAATATTGCATGTGATTTTCACTTTTAAGGGTATTTAAGCTTAAGACAGAACAACCATTACTTTGAGATATAGAGTTACAATTTTGAACCCAATCAATCCCATCTTAGATTTTCCCTGACACTTACCAATGAGTGGGTGTGGGGACGCTTCCTTGCCAGCACTCACCCACAGCTGGTAGTCCTTCTCAGAGCCCTTGGAAACAAAAAGAACTATGCATCATAACAAATCTTTCACAGTACTTGAAGAACACATTTCCTTTGCATTTCTGTGTTTCCAGAAAGAAAGAATTGGGGCCAATATAAATGCTATTTCGTCCATGGAGGTAGCTACAGTACTTGTTAACTTGTTCCCTCATAGCCTCCAGTGGACCGTCCCAGGTTCTTGTCATTTTTGATAAAGGCCAGGAAACCATAGTACAATCAGCCCCTCACTGTGTGGGTGGCCCATGGCATAAGAAATCACAGTTGTGCCCCTTCACTAAGAAGGAAAGGTCTAATCTCAGAGGCCTGCCTTCCACTGTCTCTAGATTCCTTGGATAATGTTGGCTTTTGCCATCAAATGTCCCTGCCCTGACATGCATATTGTCCAGAGAGCCATATACCCTGCTATGACTATTCCTGAGCAAAGTAACTTGAAAGGCATCAATAGCTCAGCAGCCTTGAGCAAAAAGAGACAAATACCCAAGAGGCCTTGAGGAGATAGTGGACTGAAGTCAGCCACTGGCTTTGGTGCAGGCAAGCCCCACTTCAGGGAGAGAAAGAACAAGGACTCTAACCTAGACAACATATCAGATGCAGAAAACAATTACTCCCAGCAGAATTACCGCCCAGTAAACCTGGAAGTCCTACTTGAAACAAACACATCTAAATTATAAAGATCACTGAACTATTTTAGAGAGCCTTCCAGGAGACTAAAGCAAAAAATGTTTGACATGGAGTTGTTGGTGATAGGTACTATGCTTGCCCTTGACTCCTGATTAAAAATCATGGTCTTGCCCTTATGAAGAAAGGTCATAGGATAGGTATGGACACAGACACAGACACACAGACACACAGACACACACAGACACACAGACACACAGACACACACAGACACACAGACACACACAGACACACAGACACAGACACACAGACACACACAGACACACACACAGACACACAGACACAGACACACACAGACACACAGACACACACGCGTAGCTAAATCTGCTCAAAATTGTATTGCAAATAAGAAGTGAGAGCTAATAAGGTAGGGTAGGGTTTGGAAATGCTATGCTGGAATCCCTTAAATCAGGCATACATAAAGCCAAATAACCCCAATTCTTCATTAAAACAGAAATTCTTTGTGTGGTGAGATTGATCACTTTATGCAAAGGAAAATCACAAACATCAAATAAAATGAGCTTCATCATTAATCAGTCTCCCCAACTTCATCCCTAAAACCACTCACTCTCTTTCTAAGACTTAATTCCTATTTAGGGTATATATATCATACAGGTTAGAAATCGGTGTAGATATGTGCTTTACTCAGTACATATAAATTCAATTTTATTTCAGATATATTATTAAATTTTGTTTGTACAGAAATCATTGATTTCTTATGCCAAATTCTGGTTGCTCTGAATTTTTAAGGGGCTTTATTATACCATTGGGTCAGACAGAATTTAAGTAAGAATCTTGTAATTATGTCATGTCATAATAGCAAGACATTTTTGCATTTATAGAGGATTTTATATAAGAAGCTGTGCTTTACAAGTGCTCCCTTCAGTTCTGTCCATCTGACTGTCACTCTCCCTCTCTTTTCCCTTAGAAAACATCATCCTCAAATACGTCCATGTCTTTCTTCAAAAAAAAAAAAAAATCCAGCAACTCACACCAGCACCATCAAAACATAAAGGAACAGACAGTTAAAACCAAAACAAGATGAAAGTGATATGTACGCAACTGCCCCCAGATCCATGATCTTATTCAGAACTTGTCCTCTTTACCAGTTCATAAGGGGTGTGAGCCACCTCATCCCAAGGAACTGCATCAAGAGGAGGTAGCTTCTAGCCATGTGGTCTCTATGTCAAAATGTACAATAAAACATGTAATTTAGGATTCATCTAACTGGGATTGAGTCCTTGGGTGATGACCAGGGTAAATAGGGATGGGGAGGAATCAGGAACAAAGACACAGAGAGAAGAGTCCTATAGAGGAGGAGATATTTAGAAACTTAGAAATATTTTATTGTCTGTGTATAAAATATATACAATAAACTGCATGTTGTTATTAGCACTCTAAAATTATAGCCCAATTTTATGCTATGATTTTGAATTCGCAGAAAATTTAAAATGGGAAGACAAGAAGAGCACCCATGTATAGGCTAATAATATAGCTTTGCTGCCTTCAATTTCTAAATCTGGGGGACAAAATATGACTATGATATCTATAATAATCAGCTGTCTTATAATGGGAGGTACACAACACACACACACACAAATCTCAAAAGTCAAAGTTGGTTTTTAAATTAAAAATAGTTTGCAAAGCAACTTACAGTTATTCCTAGCATTGGTAGTGACATGTTGATAATGTCATTTGCTGTGTCTGAATTTGTTACTGTTACAGTTACAGACTGTAAAAAAGAAATAAGAAAAATTGCTATAAATTTTTAAAAATTTAAAGCAGGTGACCAAATAATTATTGTCAAATTATTATCCATACTCTAAAAGCAAAGCTTGTTTTCAGTTAATGACAAAGTAAAGCATATGTAGAGCACACATCCTTAATTATATTTTCATTTCTTTACATAACATGAAGCTAGTAGGAAACATTTCAGTAAAACATATATTTCCCTTCAAGGATTTGTGGCTTACAAATATAGCAGCTTAAGCAAGAAAGAGAAAAACAGAATTCCACAAGGGGACATGAGCTGACCCTCAGCTCCATAAGGCTATTTCCGAAATAGATGGGGGAGATAGTTTAAAAAGGAGGAGCTAGATAATTTTCTCTCTTCCTGAGTTGTGTTTTTACAGTATGGATTTATTTCTTTGCAATTACATACTCAGTTTCAGCAAAATCAGAATAAGAACTGTCTGTGACAGACATTTTTTTAAAAAAAAACTACTATTTAGTCAGTATTTTCTTTGTGTCATCATGGTTACTAAGATTTCCATTGTTGAAATCTGTTGAGACAAATAAAACCAATGAGTCTAGGAAATGAGACTGAAAATTTTAGAAGTTTATATTCCATTCACAACTCTGACAGTGAGTAGTTACTTATAATATCTCTATCACACCTTATATTGAGAGACTGCTCCATACAACAAGGAAAACAGTTATTGAAAATTATCTGAAAGGGATTGATAGGAATCTGAGATGATATCTATAAAGCTATCCAAATTCCAAAAGACATTTTAAAATAAGACAATATGTAACCAACTATGCACAGTTTTTATACCATTATTAGGCAACGAGGCCTGTGTCCTTTGAGAAACAGTGCATGAAGAAGACAAGCAACAGAAGTGGACACTCACAGGCCTTAAAAATATTAAAAACAAAGTTAAAAGAAACTTGTTCTTTCATTGTATTTTTCTTCTTATGAATTGAAATGCAATTGCTTGATATGACAGTTGGCCCAAAAGTTGTTTGATAATTGAACTTTTATGAACAAAAGTATTCATTGATTTCAAACTACTTGAGCTTTAAGGATTATTTAAAAAAGCGTTCAGAACCTAGCAGTAGGACTCAGAGCACCCAAACTCAAGGATATCCTATGTTAAATTGTCTAGGAGGGGCTTCCTATGTTAAATTGTCTAGAGGATTCAAGACTGGGTCTTAGCTTGAAATTTAGTTAGAAGTAATGGGTCTGCTATTTTTTTTAAGATGTCTGAAAGCCTTTCAATACAACTTAAAAACTTTCCCACAAAATCTTTTTTTTTTTTTTAAGATTTTTATTTATTTATTTGTCAGAGAGAGAGCACTAGCAGGGGGAGCCACAGGCAAAGAAGGCAGAGGGAGAAGCAGGCTCCCCTCTGAGCAGGGAGCCTGATGCAAGACTCCGTCCCAGGACCCTGGGATCATAACCTGAGTCGAAGGCAGATGCATAACTGACTGAGCCACACAGGCGTCCCTCCCATGAAATCTTTTTAAAGAAAAAAAAAAATCTCTTTCGAAATACTAATAATCACTTTTTAATTTATCTGGTCTGCAAGATAATGGTTTTCATGGTATAAGGAACATACTATGTTCAAAATAGTAATTCCAGGGATGTATGTATATTTTCCTGCATGTTGTAGGTTCTCCAAAACAGATAAATTCCAGTAGATAGAGCTCTCTGTAAACAAATAACTTCAGAAAAATAAGCTGTTTTTTGGAAATAATTTAAAAGAAAAAGAAATGCTACTTTTTTTTTTTTTTAATATGAGTCAAAGTGTTACTTAATATATGAAGAACCAGGAAAATGTGATCAATTCTCAAGAGTTGAAGCCAACCCTGAGATGATCTAGATGTTAGGCTGTTAGCCAAAAACAGCTATTACAATAATGCTCAATGATACAAATGAAAATATGCTCACAATAAACGAAATAGAGGCATCTTAGCATAGAAACTAAAAATATTTAAAAATAGAAATTTTTTATCTGAAAAATATCTTAAAGAAAAAATTTACTGACTAGGCTACATTGCATAATGGAGATGACAAAAAGAAGTCAGTGATTTGAAAATAGATAATAGAAATTATCCTGTCTGAAGAAGAAAAGGGGAAAAAAGATTGAAAAAATTAACAGAGTCTGAGGGATCTCTGAACAATATGAAAGGGTCTAATATACATATAACTGGACTCTCAGGAGGAGAGAAGAGAGAAAATGGGGAAGAAAATATTTGAGGTAATAATGATTAAAATTTCCCCAATTTGGTGAAATTAAATTTATAAATTCAAGAAGTTCAGAATATGCCAAATAGGACAGATGTAAAGATAACCATGCTTTGATAATTCATAGCCACACTGCTAAAAACCAAAAATAAAGAGAAACTCTTGAAAGCAGCTGGAGAAAAATGACAAATCACCTACAGAGGATTAATATTTGAATGATCACAGACTACTCATCAGAAAGCACAAAGACCAAAAGACAGTGGAACATCTTTAAAGGGCTGAAAGGAAAAAGTTTGCAAACAAAATTCTACATCCCTCAAAATATCTTTCAAGAGTGAATGTGAAATAAAGCCATATTCAGATAAAAGAAATTAAGAAAATCTGTTTGCACCAGCTCTGCACAAGAAATGCTAAGGATCATCTCTCTAGGATGAAATGAAAACAGTGTTAGAGGGAAACTTGGATCTTCAGGAATGAGTGAAGAACATTAGAAATGCTTATTTTGTGTAAATTATACATAAATAAAGTTGATTTTTAAAAATTTCAAGGTAATTTTCCATGGAAAATTCTGAATGTAACCCACTGCCACAGCTGAAATCAAAGCAGGCAGAGACAAGAGTGTGCTCTGCTGCTAGAGAACCCTCTGGCCTTATCTCCTTCATGCAATGCATCTAGCTGGTGCTTAGAAACCAATCAAAATATTTGCATGGCTTTTGCTTTGGCCAGGAATAACTACCTCTTTTTCCACCTTCAAATACTATTTTGTGTGATCTAGAGCTACTGTAAAGTATAACAGGAAAAAAAAAATGTCACTTAAAGATACCCAAAGTATCTTGTTCATCATTGCAAATGTCTTGGCTACTGCACTACAATTTCAGAAATCAAATTTTACACAAATAATGGGCAATTGGTTTGATTTTTTCCCCCAACAGCACAAGGAAAATGAGATAGAAATATGCTGATCCCTTAAAAGTGTCATCCCTCTGAGCTCAATTCAACCCTGAGATTCCTTGGAACAAAAGACCTTTCAAAACCCCTCTGCAGTTGACATAACTACTAAGTGAAATACCTGACCCTTGAGTAGATCCTGTACTGGAACAGAGACATTATTGAGGTCAGCTGACAAAATGGGAACGTGGAAGGCAGAGTAAAGTATTATACCGATGTTAAATTTACTAAAGGTGATAACCATATGATGGTGATATAAGAGGATATCTTTATTCTTGGGAAATACTTAGGTTTAAGGATAAAGGGCCATGGCATTTGTATGACCCTCAAAACTAAGTATAACATACACATAATAGGGACAGAGAAAGAAAATAAATGATAAAGCAAGTGGAGTAAAATGTTACTAATAGCTGAATCTAGGTAAAGGGTGCATGGGTGATTTTTGTTTTATTTTTATATTTACAACTTTTCTGTGAGTTTACAGTTATACCAAATAAAACATCAATGGGGGGGTGGAGAACTGTGGAAACAATCCAAACCGTTCTGTACGTAAGTAGTAACCATTGGAAAAAATGTTTAATTCTAGTAGGAAATACCTGCATGTGAAAATCAACTTATTACAAGCCAGTGTTATTGCTGTTAGAAGGATCCGGAGAAATATTATGGATATTTAACATGCAATACTCTTTCCATGCTTAAGTACTGTGGCATGGATTCCTCTCACTTCATATTACCTAGTATTCACTTTTTATGTAAACAAAGACACGTGTAGACAGGAAAATACATTTTCCCACATGGCACTTTTCTAAATATTCTCTCTCTTCTTATCTTTTGCTCTCTCCTTCCTACCTCCCCATTCTCCCTCCCTCTCTCTCTCCGTCTCCATCTCCATCTCCATCTCCATCTCCATCTCTTTCGTTCTATCTGAATCAGGAACATGGAATTTAATTTTTGGTCTTAAAAACACTTACACAGGCACAGTTCTTGATGTCCTCAGTGAAGATTCTGAGAGGAATGCTTTTTGGCTGGTCCTTCTCTTTGGCTAGATTGATGTACCTAATCAAATTCAATAACCCCAAAGAGAATAGGATGAATTAGCTATTAGCTTACTTTCAAATTGATCTATGTGGCTAAAATTTTCAACATACTCTGTTATTTTTAAATGCACGTAAATAAACTCAGCAAAATCAAACTATGGGTTGGAAGGAAACATGCAAAACTATTTCAGGAAAATAAGACATGACTCAAAACAACAGGTTGCTCTTGTCATGTAAGATCTGAGTAGGAGGTCCAGTCATCAAAGCTTTCCTGCCTAGACTGGAGGGCCCAGTGCCTTCAAGGGTAGGAATGAGAGGGTGCTTTGAGCATCACTCAGGAGAGTAAACTGCACTTAAGAAAATTTAATATGTATCTTTTGAGAATAATGTTAGCAAGCAATATGTGTGTGTAAATGAGAGCAGATTATTTGCAGTAGCAGCCAGGGTACATCTAAATAAGAAATTATTTGAGGATAGTCTAACAATTTCTACTAAGGAGAGGGAAGCATAGTGTGTGGGGACACTGCTTTGAAGAGATTTATTCTTTTCTCATGGCTTAAAGATTTATAATATGTATAGTGACAAGATACCTTTGAAGGAAAGAATGCCATTTTTCCTTTTGTTCCGAAGAACTGCAATTTAAAAAAAAATGGGAAGAAAAAATTAAGATACATACAATACTTATACTAGCAAAATAAGATCACCATTCCAGAAAAAAATATCAGCAGCCAGTTGTTAAGGATGTGGATGCATGTGTTATATCATAGTCTCCTCGTAGTTGGGCTTTGGAGGGACCCCACTCTTTTATGAGCATATTAAAGCAATGGGAAGTAGATCCTAAAGTGGAAGAAAAGTTGGTTTTGAATCTGAACACTTAATTGTAACCATGTGATGCAAGCTATGTGATCACAGGCACTTTGCTTAACCTCACTGATCTTCAGTTTCCAGAACTGGAAAAGGGTTAATTATACCCCGAGTGTTCCTGCAGCTGCAAGTGCTATTCAGATATAAAGAACATTATTATTCAAATTAAATCATACTTAAGGAATTTGGCATTTGGATGGAACTATCTTGGCCCAGAAACAAGAATATCTTTTTAGGAAAAAACACCTGTAATATTTTTATTTCTTTATACACATAGCAGATTGTAATATGTTAAATTAGTTCCTAGAAAACATTCTTCATTACTGCGATCCTCTGAGCAAGATCAATCCAGCCAGTGCTAAACTACTAAAGGTTAGTCTTTTCTCAACTAAAGTTTTCACAGCATTTAATATCCAAAGTTGTGAATGTTTTAAGCCTCATTCATACATGGCCTTACCACTTACTAGCATTTTTTTACTGTGGTAAACTACACAAAATAAAATTGACCATTAGTGACTTTTAGTACATTCACAGTTTTGTGCAACTACCATGACTGTTTAGTTCTGGAACATTTTTATCACCCAAAAGCAAACCTGTGTCCATGAAGCAGTCACTCTTCCTTCCTTCCTGTTTCTAGCTCCTGTACCGTATTTTGTGTATTTGTTGATAAACACTTGGGTTGTTTCTACTTTTTTTTTTGGCTATTGTCGACAATGCTGCTATGAATGTTTGTGTATCAATTTTTGTGTGGACCTATGTTTCTCTTGGGTATATATCTGGAGGTGGCATTGCTGGGCGGTATGGTAATTCTGTTTGACTTACTGAAGAACCATCAAACTGTCCACAGTGGCTGCCACATTTTATACTCCTCCCAGCAACACTGCTCCCCACCCCCTCCATCGCTGTTTCAGGATTTGTCCCATCCGGAAAATGGAATGCCCACTTAGCGTCCCAGCCTGCCTATGCACATGGACACAGCTTCTAGTTAGCCATGCTGATCTGCAGAACAGTAATAATAACAAATAGCAAAAGCACTAGGTGCCAGGAATTGTTATAAATGCCTTCTATATGTTTACACAGCTTTTTAAACTTATATAACATGTATAAGCCTGGCTTCCACATTTTCCTCCTCGTTAGGGAAAAGAAGTTTCTTGGAAACTCCCCTGTCAAAGACTTTATACATTCCTAGTTGAAACTGTTTCCTTCCATTTGCAACATGGAGAAGACAGTAAGCAAGAGGAACTGAGAATCTTTACAGAAATACGTCATGGAAAAGAAGACATGCGGAGAGCATATAAATACATATTTCTTCCCAATAAGCTTTGAAAATTTTTCATTAAGTCAACGCTGCATTATAGGGCTTAAAAAATTAACGACTTGCAAACATTTTTGTTGTCTTCCCTTTGCGATGACGTGTGAGATTTTGGTGGAGTGGGGTGAGGAGAAGAAAGAAGGGTGTTAAGTGCGTGTGATGAACACTCATTGTGCAAAACAAGAATGAGACTTGGGGTGTGGTTGTTTCAAATAGCAGATGTAAGTGTTGCACCACCCCCTGTAAACTCAGGAGTGTCTGCTCAGGTTGTCCGGGGTAGAGAGTCACATTCCCCATCCTCATGTCAGCCTAAGAATGTGTCTTGCATAACTAACCTCTACTCGATGCAATCATAACTTTTGTTTTAGATGGTCACCTCTCTAGAGACACCAACTAAGATAATCGGTACACAGCAATTCAGGCAACCTCATATTCAATGACATGATTAATTTATTTGTATAATTACATACTATTTTTAAAGGAATGAACTTGGGAGTATAAGAGCAACTTTTCAAATTTAATTGGACTCTTTAATAGTACTTGCTCAAGAAAAATATGCCAGTGATTTAGAAACACAGATACCCCCCGGGAATTAGGGGGCAGGCTATTGGAGAGGGGATCTAGAAACTCACTCTCTTGATTCTCCTTCCATATGCCCAGAACACCCAATTCCTCAAGTGGCTCCTAGAGCCCATGTGAAAAACCACTGATCAAAACCAAAGAAATTACAATAGTTCCCACTCTATGTTATCTACTTGCTCCCATTTGTACATACCTTTTGGGGGAAAGTACAAGGCAAATGAGTGTCATTATGGGAAGTCAAAAAGTGAGTCACTGGCTTGATATACAATCAGATTAAAATGTTTTCCTTTTTAACCCATGTAAATACAAGACCAAACGGTCAGTCTTACCTGAAGGTGGCCACAAAGTTCCCCGTGGGCCAGCCCAGGACAAAGGACCTCCCAGCACAGATGTTGGCAGCCTCCACTCTGTCCATACAGTTGGCAGTCCACATGGTGTTCAGTGGTATTTGATTTTTTATCTTAAACTTTTTCTTATACCTAGAAAGATACCCAAACAAGACCTCTGTTAGTTTGTTTCATAAATGTTATGGGAACAGCTGTGCTCATCAGAAACCAGTTCTCACTGCTCCAGGGCACAGCCTGCCTCCCTCATCTCTATTACCCTCTGTGCCCAGCATAGCAAATGGTGACATGACCTTTACAAAGTGTGTGTTGAGCAAAGTCTGGCCCTAGGAAGGCCCTAAAAACACTTCCTCAAATGGCAGCAAGTAGCCATTTTTCTGAATGTTGAGTGTTGAGTAAAGACTATATATTCCAGAGCTTTTTAAGAAAACCATTAATTCATTTCTTATTGTTAGATTTGTTTCCTATTATATATAGTTTTATGGTTACTATTATAGTTAATTATTCATTTATGACTTGCTTACTTCAAAAAGTATTTGAGGGGCTGAACAAAGGTACCTGATACACGATTTATAAAAATAGTCATACAATTTTTTTCTTAAGAGAGACAAACCAGGGGGGGGCGCCTGGGTGGCTCAGTCGGTTAAGCATCCAACTCTTGGTTTTGGCTCAGGTGGTGATCTCAGGGTCTTGAGATCGAGTCCCCATGTAAGGCTCCCCTCTCAGTGGGGAGTCTGCTTCCCCTCTCCCTTTGCCCCTCCCCCTAGCTCATGCTCATTCTCTCTAAAATAAATAAATACATAAATAAATCTTCAAAAAAAAAGAGAGAGAGAGAGAGACAAACCAAGAACAAAAAATAAACTTGGATCAGAAAGATTTAAAAATTATTTTCAACCTTAATTTAAAAAAAAAAACTTTCTAGCCTTTAAGGCATAGGTTATTTTTAATTTCCCTTCTTAAAATTTTGTCCATATCATTTTCACTTAGATTCTGGCTAAAACTGAAAAACTCAAATGGCAATTTGAGTTGAGCTAATTTAAAAATCATCAATCCATCCAACAATCAATCCCAGATCAGTGGTCAGGAGGTCTTATATGTGAGTGATGTATACTTCCCATTTCTCTGAGGAGTCAGAAGGTGATCAACTTTGTCAGTGGTGAAATTGCTTTTTGATAATTTCTGCCTAATCTTCTTTGATCTCTAACATGAAAACCACCATATTGATTAATTTGGTTAATTCACAACTTTAACTCTCAGGTGGGCTTGAGATTTAAATAGTTATAAGCCCTCTGAGGGATGCTTAGGGAACTTGGACACACCTCTCTGGAACTCCTTACTATTCAGAAACACATGTGGAAACACTAAACTAAAATGAGATCAAAGACACCTCATGTGCAAAAATCCCTATGACTCCAATGATTCATGGAACAATTAAAGCTAAGACTCTCCAATGGGATTTATGAAATAAAAATAATTTTGCTGGAAGAGCACTTGAAGGAGAATCTAGATTCAAAGTTTATGACACAATGAATAAAGTCATCAGATAAAATCTTTATCAGATATCAGATGTCTGATTATCAGATAAAATCATTTTTCTAGATAGTAACTCCAAAGGCATTGTCAAGCTAAAAATATATGGCTAATGGGAAAGATAGACATATATCTGTTTGTTTTTACAGATTTTTTTTTCTAATGTAGGTATCTGTTATATACAGACACCTAAGGTACCGTGTGGAAACTTCCAAATACATTGACCTGGAAAAAGGAATTTCAATAATTCTCTCCTTAGTTCAAGAAAGCGCCAGGATTATCTACTCTGAACCAAGGAGTTATCCCAAAGCTCAGAGCATGGTTTCTACTGTCCTATAACATTTGGAGCACTTACCATATGCCAAGCACTGTTCTAAATATTTTATAAATACAAATATAAAAAATTTAATCCTCAAACAACTACACTAGGTGGTCTCAGATCCATTTTACAAATAAGGAAACTCACAGAAAGGTTAAATAAATTGCCAAAGGCAAGAGAGTTTGAACCCAGACAGCCTAACTCATGAGCCCATGTTTGTAACCACTTGGCCTCTGTGGGTGCTGACCTATCGTTCCATGAACTACCCTTCTCATGTTTCCTACCCTCATTCAGCCTCACTTCGGTCCCCAGAGCCATCAGGCTTTCTCATGGGATTATCTGGGGAGTGAGAAGATAAATCTCAAGACATTATATTAACAAAGCTAGTTGCTAGCTTGGAAATATTTAAAGTTTATTACAACAAAGCTTCATACTTCAATGGATTCTTCTAGGATCTTACTGTGTTTCTTCACTCTCAATCACTGACCCAACTGGAAATTAGAAAGTATTAATCTCATGTAAACTGACTTGAGGAGAAGAAAGAGGAGGAGAAAGAACTGTGGTTTTTACTTCTAAAAATAGTCCTTTATTATATTTGTATTAACATGATGGATATCACTCTTGCTTTCTGCTACCTCAACCTTTATACCAGAAGGGAAGCCCCAGTGCACTGTGGAAATTTACAGGATTCTAGGGAGATTTCCCCTGTTCTAAGATAGGGGTATCGTTTTACAGATGTTGGGAGTGGGGGTCAGGTTATATTCTGTAAGTAATTCTTTGTAATTTCACTGATAATGAGTTAATAGTCATCTTCATCGTTTGACCTAATTTAAATTCATTTTTTGTTTCATTTTATATTCTTTAATAACTAAATATGAGGAATGTGATGTCTAAAGAACTAAGTTCAGTCCCTTCCTTTTTGTAAATTCTTCATGGGCATCTACTAGTATTATCTTAATATTTATCAAGCAGATACTGTTCTTAAAAATAAAGTAATAATTTTATTTGAAAGATAACTTACTTAGTATTCTAATGAATATCAAAAGTGATAAGGAAGGTTCCATCTGACCTCAATTCTTGAGAAATTTCTAAAGGTGTATGAAAAAAATCCCCAAACAATTTTCACTATTATTAACATCCTGTACGACTAGAGAAATATAATTTCTTTGTGAAGAAACAAACATTTAAATTCCTTTTATTATTACACACAAACTAAAATTCACTAATTTTGACAGAATAAGTAGGTAGCAATTAGTCAACTACTTACCCAATTTGTGTTAATTTCTATAGCGCGTCAACCTAAAGATGAGAGTTTCCAGCTGAAGCCTGCAGGTGAGCTGAGGTAAAATGGAACCTGGGTCACCCCAACCCCTTCTTATGGCTAATTGGAAAAACTAGGCCCTAAATTCAGATTATTAATTTGAACAGATTGATTCTGGGCATAACACAATCCTCCAAGAACAAGGATGACAGGGAAGAAACAAGATTGTTAATGCAGGAGCTATTTCTTTTTAGTTGTTTCCTTCTAGAAAAAAAAAGTAAACGTTTTCAATATTAACAGTGATCATAAATACACCCAAATATTTACCATGGGAATGTTCTCATAGTCGTTTCCTAAAAACTATGGCAAAAACTTGTACGCGGCCACAGCATGAAGTGCCGCGCATGACTGCTTGGGACAGAATTGTGTCCCCTCCCCCACTGCTCCCCACAGTCTTACCGTGAAGCCCTCTCTGCCAATATGACCATGGTTGGAGAGAGAGCTTTTCAGCGGTAACTAAGTGTAAATGGGGCCATCAGGGTAAGGGCCTAATCCAGTAGGATTGGTGCCCTTGTAAGAAGAGGGAAGAGAGAGCTCTGTGTGCGTGTGTACATGCAGGCGCTGAGGAAACCCCATGGGGCATAGACGAGAGGGCAGCCATCTGCAAGCAGAAAGACAGCTCTCGTGGGAACCTGACCCTGATGGTGTCCCGACCTTGGACTTCCAAAAATCTGTGTTCTCTCTCTGTCAAGGGCCTTGGTTTTAGAAACCAAATTCAAGTGCCTGAGATCACTTACATTTTCTAATATTCCTAATGGATGTAAAAAGTATATAAGATAATCTTTCAGGAGCTGAGTCTCTTAAAGAGAACATTATTAAATACATTGATATAGATTTTGTCACATCATAAAAACGCTTGAGTAGACACAAAAACCTATCTCAAAAGCAATATGTGAAGAGGAAAAATGTTGCACTTCTTTTGTAATAGTGAACCAATCAAAATTAAAAATTCAGCTCTTAAAAGGATGCAGTTCTCTCATGGAGAAAGAACACTGCCTTTATATAAAATCTTTTCAGCAGACCACCGTAGGTTCCGTAAAACCCGCTGAGAGGTAAGCAGTATCCAGGACAATAAATGGCTCTAGTAGGAAAAGAAAGGTCTTCTCCTCTCCCTAAGTGCTATAATAATTACAAAGGTGAAAACAAAGTGAAGGACAACCTGTTCCCCTTATAAATCGAAGGTGAGTGGTCTGCAAGGTCCCAAGGAGCAGGAAAGGAGTTTGCTGTTTGTTAGTGTGTCTCTTGGGCTGAGCATGGAGGAGTAGGTGTGGCAGGAAGAGCGTGGCCTTGGGATGAAGGCAGGCCTGGCTTGGAGTCTCTCCCACCATTTCCCTGTGGATGACAAGCCTGTTCCTGAGACTTCCCCCATCCCCATTTTCATTTCTGCAGTCAGTGGATGATAACAATATTGGCCTTGGAGGGCTGTGGGGAAATTACACGAGGAATCTGTAATGCTCTTCGTGTGGTCCCCAGCATGCATCCCACACATTTTAGTCTCCTGTACTCACCTTGGTTAAATAAAGAGAATGGTAACTAGTCTGCTTTTTTAAAAATAATGATGTGGCCCTCTATCAGGAGGAACAGAGTGCTTCATATGGACCTCATGCCAGGACCTGGACAGTCTTTTTCTCTCTGTCCTCCTCATGACATCACCACCTCCAAGGCTACATCTGTAGGCAATTTCACTCATCTCAAATATATTTTACTAGTCTTTGCCTCTGATTTTCTGATTTTTTTTTTTTTGGACAGCTACACTTCCTTCATTTCTCAGTTCACTAAGCATTCTGACCTATTTCTTACCAGATGCCAAGCAGATTGGAGTTGTTTACTCAACATAAAGGAAAGGTTGATTTCAATAATGAAAGAGAATCTAGGTGTTCATGGAATGTTCTATGAAATTCAGAAAAATAGAAAGAATAGAAACAGCAGCACCACACATAGAATAAAATTCTGTACTTTGAAAGAAACGGACCTAATTTCAAATGTAGACTCTACTCATCACTAATATGGTGACCTGAGCAAAACCTTTAGATCTCTGATTTTCAGAGGTATTCTCTAAAATAAAAATAATCCCATCTCACAGGGTAGTTGTAAGGTTGGACAAGATTACATACATGAAGTTCTTAGCATAACACCTGTCATGTAGTAAGCCCCTGATAAATTATCATTAACGTCACTCAGATTGAGTATAGCATTTTGCCAAATTAGTACTTGCATGTCTTACTAATGGCATGGCATAACCGGGAGCTAGTGAGGGCAGCAAAATAAAAGGGGGTAGTTTTTTTTCTGGTGACTAAAAAGCTTCTTGATATTCGGTTTGTTGGAATAGTCTTTGTCTTTCATGATGTTTTGTGAATAATGAAAACAGAAATGGAGCAAGTCAACAACTGACCTCCCATCCACCTGCTTTCAGATATTTATTGAGCCATCATCAGGTTCCAGGCTGGATATCAGTTGCATTTGTGTTCAGGGTTGAGAGGAAAGTGCACGCAGTTAGTTCTGTCTCCAGCATATATTCCAAATCTGCTGCCTCCTTCCTTTTTATTGCACTCCTACCCTGGAGCCCTTGAGAGCATCCATCAGGACTACTGCCTCCCCTAACCAGTCTCCCTGCTCCCACTCTTGCTTAACCATCCATCCATTATCTACCAACAGTCAGAAAAATTTGCTAGAGATATAAATCAGATTCAGTCAGTCCTAGTTAAAAACGCTTTGGCAAAATATTTCCACTTTTCACCATGGCCTGTAAAGACCGTGTATGACTGGACCCTGAGTGCAGTATCACATCTGATCACAGGCCCCACGCTTTCGGCTCCCATCGAATCAGCCTCCCCTCCCCCTTCCCCCCTAGGGGTCAGGTTGCACCCACGTAGCCTGCCGGTCCCTCAGCCTAGAAGGTTCAGGCACCTTGTTTAGGAATGTGGCTGCTTCTCATCTCATAGATCTAGTTTCAGTGCTGCCACCTCAGATTGGCCCTCCTGGACTACCCCTCTCATACGTTCCCATCATCTCCACACGGCCCCCTATCTATCTTCTATCAGGAGCATTAATCACAATCTATAATTCCCCCTCTTATTTTTATCATTTGTCTGTAAGTCCCAGGCAAGAGAGACACTGCTTGTCACATTCTCCATTGTATTCTCTGTGGGCCGGGGGCGTGGGGGGGGGGCATGGCACAAAACAAGACCTCCATAAGTACTTGTTGGATGAATGAAGGATCAAAACATGGGCAAAAACAAAAGAAAAAAAATCTTATGTCTTCTTATGGTAAGGGTTAATGGAAATGTAACTTCGTGATCATCACAAGGGCACGTTGCTTAGTATACATACTTGGTATTGGAAATCAGCAACAAATCGCTGAACAAGAAGAGTTGCCGCTTCTGCCTCCTCCAGCCTCTCTTGAGCTCAACAGAGCCGTGGATAAGCAGGGTATGGGCAGCATCCTCAGATGATGTAGTGCTTTCGCTGTGGGTGTCCACCTTAACAGAAGAGCTCTTCCTGCAACCCATCAAACACCACAGAGCAGCTAGTTACTAGTCAAATATACAATAGAATTTTATGCTAAATGTCAAGGTTCCCACAACACTAAAATTTAGTCTCAACCCTGAAAGCAGAGCTCCAGAGCTCACATTCAGGGATCACTGAGTTATAGAAAGCTATTGAAAGAGATGAGGACGGATGTCTGGGTGGCTCAGTCGGTTAAGCATCTGTCTTCAGCTCAGGTCATGATCCCAGGGACCTAGGATCGAGTCCCACATCGGGCTCCCTGCTCAGCGGGGAGCCCGCTTCTCCCTCTGCCTCTACCCCTCCACCCTGTTTGTGCTTTGTCTCTCTCTCTCACATGCTCTCTTTCTCAAATAAATAAACAAAATATTTTTTAAAAAAAGAGAGATGAGGTCACTTGGGGAATTGATGCAGATGGACAACAGTTTCAAGGACAAAGCCCTTGGGCATGCCAACACTTAGAGGTGGGGTGGAGAAAGCAGCAAAGCTAATCATGAGCTGTTAGGAAAGGGAGAATCAAGAGGTAGAGTGTGTTACAAGAAGGCAAACAAACAACAACAACAAACAGGACAATTTGTGGCCTAATATAAAACAAAATGATATGGTGTATGTGAAGAATTAATTACAATTTGCTTTCATGTTAGGATAAAAATGAAGACAACTGAAGATTCTGGAAATTTACTTACCTAAATCTATCTAAATCTTATCTAAATCAATATTCAAACTTGGGGGAAAAATTCTCAAAGATCGGCAAAAATACTGGAAACATCGAAAAGTTTCTAAACACAAGAGTTTAGCTATTACTTGGCTGAGCTCTGACTGAGCTCTGATAGGACTTTCTGGTCATCATAGGTAAAACAACTAAATTGAAGAGAATGCAAAAGTTCTTTCATAAATAGGACAGTTATTTTCATAGACCTGGGAAAATTCTCTCTCGTGGAGCCAAGAAAGTGTCTCCCCTGAGAATGTAAAGCCTGCTCTCTTCAGCTCAGCAGCACTGAATTTTAGGAACCTGAGTAACTTTTCATGAAGCTGGTGCTGAAGTTACTCATTAGTTTACATGTATTAGAAGAAACAAAAGAGAACAACACTCCCTGTTATTGTCAATCTGTTTTGAGGCTCAAAAATAGTATATCAAAAGACTACCTTATGCGGTGAAGCCTTGAATGACCACCTATAAGTTCAGCATGCTTTCTGAATGACGTGAACATCCTTTTGTCTTCAGTTCTCGGGACTGAAAATCAATTGCGTCTACAGCACTAGGCAGAGTACTGTAAAATGCTTGAAGCCTGAGGATTCCACAATCGCCTGAGATCACTACCATTATGATGTCACAGACCTAAGGCTCATGTCGTAACTGCCAAACTGACATACTTGTTTCCCTGATTTGGCCTGCACGTTTTGATTTTTTAAAAGTAATCTTTTTTATTTTGAGATAACTATAGATTCATATGCAGCTGTAAGAAATAATACAGAGAGATTACAACAATTTTCTACAGATAGAGACTTTCAGACACTTCCATCACCACAAGGATCCTTCCTATTACCCTTTTACAACCACACAAACTTCCTTCCACCTCCCCCACCTCTTTAATCCCTGGCAATCACAAATCTGTTCTCCATGTGTATAATTTTGACATTTCAAGAATGGTATACAGAGGGGATCATATAGTATGTAACATTTTTGTGATTTGCTTTTTTCCACTCAACATAACAGGAGAGTCATCTCGATTGCCACAGGTGCTCACAGTTCATTTCTCTGTGTCTCTTAGTAGTATGCCAGGATATGGCTGTATCACAGTTTGCTTCAGCACCTGCTGAAGGAATTCTGGATTGTCTGCAGGCTTGGGCTTTCACTAATAAAGCTGCTGTAAACATCTGTGTACAGGTTTTTGTGTCAGCGTTGGTCTTCTCTTCTCTGGGCTAAATGCCCAGGAGTCCAATTACCAGGTCCTAGGGTAGCTGCTCTGTTTTGTTTTTTAAAAAAACTGTCTAATTATTTTCCAGAGTGGCTCTCTGCCACTTCACATTCTCACCAGTACTGTGGGAGTGATTCAGTTTCCCCACATCCACACTAGCATTGGGTGTTGTCATTTTTTATTTTAGCTGTTCTGATAGCTGTGTCGTGATATCTCACTGTGGATTTAACGTGCATTTCCCCAATGGTTAGTGATGCTAAACATCTATTTGCCATCTGGACATCTTCTTCAGTGTGACGGAACCTACAGTAGTCTGTTAAAACCATTTTCCGTGAAGATGGTGTTTCCTGTCCACTAGAAAACTGACCGTTTTACAGATGAGGAGGTGCTGCACGGACAGGTTAGACGCTTTCAATCCAAGCGGCTGTGATGTAACATGAAGGATTCAAATCCAGGTGACTCTGGAGGTCACTCACTCAGCTTCCCGTGAGGGCCCTCCACTCTTCTCACATGGATGGTGTCTTCCCTTTGACAACAGTGGAGGACTGAAATTTGATCCTACTAACAAACTTCGTGGTTTCCCTTACAGGCACCTCTAACAGGTATGTGAATCCCTCTCTTTTATTCCCCACTCGACTCTACGGACCTCAAGGAAAGAGTCTATGTCTGATTTATCATTTTAATTCTTACAAACACTGGCACATTGGAGGAATTCAAAAATTCTCTTGAATGGGTGAATGAAATAGTTTTCTGGCACGGATGGACGGGGAAAAGGCATGACCTAAACTAGTCTCTCTCTCATTTACTTCATTCATTCAACAGATAGTGTTTGAACCTGTACTAGGAGAAAGGCACTTGCTAGGTCTGGGCAACAGAGAGCCAGGCCCAAATCTCACAAAGCCAGGATTTAAATGGGGGGTGGGGACAGAAATTAAACAAAGAGTGTCATCAATAACTGTGTAACACCAGACTCTGGAAAGTACTGCAGAGAAAAATTAAAGAGTGAGATGAGAAATTAAAAGAGGGACCCTGACACCTGATTTCAGTTGTGAAGAGGAAGGCTCCTTTGGAGAGCTCCTTTAAAATGAGCTTTAAAGAATAATTAGGGATTAATTAGAGAGAGGAGAGAAAAGAGGAAGGCAGAGGGAAGAGACAAGAAGAGAAGTGTATTGGAAGGGAAGATACACTTTTCAGCTGAAGGGACAGAATGCGAATATGTGACGTTTCAGAGACATGGAAGAGTTTGCTAGATTGGAGACACAGGCAGAAGGTACAGTAGCGTGAAATACGCCTGAAAAAGTAGGTAGAGGCAAGAGCACAAGTCCTGGTAGACCTTTTAGACTTTATTGAGGCCTCTCATCTTAAAACCAAACTAGCACAGAAGTGACATGTAGATAGTGGCCTTCAGACTTCTCACCACTTTTATTTTTTTTAAGATTTTATTTATTTATTTGGGGAGGGGTAGCAGAGGGAGAGGGACAAGCACAAACAGTGCTGAGAGTGGAGCCTGACCTGGGGCTCGATCTCACGGCCCTGAGATCATGACCTGAACCAAGATCATGACCTGAGCCGAGATCAAGAGTCAGAAGCTTAACCGACTGAGCCACCACACAGACACCCTTCTCACCACTTGTAAAGGGACAAGTGCTAGTCTGGACATGTTTGATTGTATTAGAACCATGGAGGCTCATTGGGCAACACTTTCCGGCCTCCCATCAAGCATCTGTCAAAATTTATTTAAGGTAAAAATGTAGGCAAACTTGTCTCTGCACCTTCCCCAATTCCCAGATTATGTCCCATTTCTCTGCCTCTCCCTTCAGAGAAGTTAGAGATTTAGAGACCAGGAAAACTTCTCTCCTTCTAGAATCTAGTATCTGCTTATCAATTCTGATATGCATCAGTTTCACTTGGGGGAGCTTTTCAGGCACTCCTTCTGTAACCCCCAGAGATTCTGATTCATCAGATCCAGAAAAACCTGTATTTTTAAAAACTTTTTGAGTGATTCTTGTATGTAACCAGGATTGTGAGTTACTAGTCTTCAGGAATTAATTGAGAAAGATGTAGTGTTCTGATACTATCTTCCCCTTCTAGTAAAGCCAAGGAGAGAAAAGTTTTCTTAGAAAGATAAAGGGAGCTTTCCTTAGTCATGTAATAGTTACCTTTACAGTAATAGCTAAAGCTTAATTCCTTCCAAAATACCATTGCTATTTATTTTAATTTGATGAATGAGCTCTAAATAGAATAATAGTGATAGGGTCTGTTTTCATCTATTTCATTGAACACTTAACTTTTCACCCTAAATATCAAATAGAAGAGATAGTATAAGGTGATCCTATGCCCATAATACCAGTATTTTTAAGCATGTTGCAAAGACAAGACTATTTTTAAAAAAAAAATTTTTGAAGATTTTATTTATTTGAGAGAGACAGTGAGAGAGAGAGAGCATGAGCAGGGAGGGGGCGGGGGAGAGGGGGAGAAGCAGACTCCCGGATGAGCAGGGAGCCCAATGTGGGGCTCGATCCCAGGACCCTGAGATCACGACCTGAGCCGAAGGCAGATGCTTAACTGACTGAGCCACGCAGGTGCCCCTAGACTATTTTCTTAATTCAATTTCTTTCTTTTAATTTTTTATCTTTATTTTATTTCAATTCCAGTATAATTAACAGTGTTATATTAGTTTCAGGTGTACAATATAGTGATTCAATAATTCTATACATTACTCAGTGTTCATCATGATAGTGTACTCTTAATTCCCATCACCTACAACCCATGCCCCCACCCACCTTCCTTCTGATAACCATCAGTTTGTTTTCTATAGCTAAGAGTCTGTTTTTTGGTTTATCTCTTTTTTATTTGTTTTGTTTCTTAAATTCCACATATAAGTGAAATCATATGGTATTTGTCTTTCTCTGACTTATTTCACTTAGCATCATACCCTCTAAATCCATCCATGTTGTTGCAAATGGCAAGATTTCATTATTTTTTATGGCTGAATAATATTCCATTATGTATATATATATACCACATCTTCTTCATCCATTCATCTATCAGTGGACACTTGGGCTGACTCCATAATTTGGCTACTGTAAATAATTTTGCAACAAACATAGGGGTGCATATATCTTTTTAAATTAGTGTTTTTCTTTTTTTAAAGATTTTATTTACTTATTTATTTATTTGAGAAAGACAGAGGGTGAGCAGACAGGTGGGGGCAGGGGCAGAGGAAGAGGGAGAGGAAATCTCAAGCAGACTCTGTGCTGAGTGCAGAACCCAATGTGGGGTTTGATCCCACGATCCTGAGATTATGACCTGAGCTGAAACCACGAGCTAGATGCTTAACCGACTGAGCCACCCAGACACCCCATGAATTAGTGTTTTTCTATTTTGGGGGTACTCAGTAGTGGATCATATAGCAATTCTATTTTTAATTTTTTGAGGAACCTCCATATTGTTTTCCACAGTGGCTGCACCAATCTGCATTCCCACCAACAGTGCGCAAGAGTTCCTTTTTCTCCACATTCTTGCTAAAACCTGTTGTTTCTTGTGTTGTTGATTTTAGCCATTTGGACAGGTATGAGGGGATAGCTCATTGTGGTTTTCATTTGCATTTCCCTGATAATGAGTGATTTGAGCATCTTTTTGTGTGTCTGTTGGCCATCTGTGTCTTCTTTGGAGAAATGTCCGTTGATGTCTTCTGCCTATTTTTAAATTGGATCATTTGGTTTTTTGGTGTTGAGTTGTATATGTTCTTTCTATATTTTGGATACTAACCTTTTATATCATTTGCAAATATCTTCTCCCATTCAGTGACTTGTCCTCTAGTTTTATTGGTGGTTTTCTTTGCTGTGCAGAGGCTTTTTATTTTGATGTAGTCTCAATAACTTATTTTTGCTTTTCTTTCCCTTGCCTCCGGGCACATATCTAGAAAGATGTTGTCACAGCCAGTGTCTGAGAAATTACTGTCTGTGCTCTCTTCTAGGACTTCTTTGGTTTCAAGTCTCACATTTAGGTCTTTAATGCATTTTGAATTTTATTTTTGTGTATAGTGTAAGGGAGTGGTCCAGTTTCACTCTTTTGGATATAGCTGTCAGGTTTCCCCAACACCAGTTTTTGAAGAGACTATCTTTTCCTGTTGTATATTCTTGCCTCCCTGCTTATACATTAATTGACCATAAAACCATGGGTTTATTTCTGGATTCTCTATTCTGTTCCATTGACTACTGTCTACTTTTCTGTCAGTACCATACTGTTTTGATTATTACAGCTTTGTGATATATCTTGAAATCTGGGATTGTGATACCTCCAATTTTGTTCTTTCTCAAGATTGCTTTGGCTATTTGGGGCCT